AAATACAATATTATATAAATAAAAAAAAATTTTTTAAGGAAAGTGACTTTACTTAATTAGCAATGGGACTGTAGAATGTGTTTTACTGTGGTGTAAAGTTCTGGTTATTTGGGATATCTTTTGCCTATGATGAAGGTATGGTAATACAATCTTACTTAGAGCAGCTGTGGAAAAAATATACATTACTTTACCAAAAATAATTTTTCACTTCCAGATAATGAGAAGTAGAGACAGCATTTTATAAGAAACTATCCAAAAGAATTCTTCTATATTACTCCATGATTTTCCTTTACATTAATAATAGAAATTAAAGGGAAATTAGGGATACATGGATATTTTAGTTCCCTGGGTACATGAATCATGAAATCTAGCAAATGATTTTCCTTCCTATTAAACACTGGGAATGTGATATTAAAATAGACACATTGATCATATCTACTAACCACTTCTCAAGCCCTTGTATCCTCATAGTATGGATCATTATAGCCTGTGGAGTAATAAGAGAAGTTTATAAGGAAAGCTGAATGACTGAAATGAACCCAACATAAAATCAAGGACTCTCAGAGTAAGACAGAAACTTCAGCCCTCATGGACATCTCCACTTGGGCATCCTAAAAGCTATTTTAATTCAGCATACCCTAAACTGAAAAGACTGTCACCCTCTACCTCTCTCCAACCTACTCCCCTCTGGTTTTTCCATTCTGAATGGTAGCAGCCCTGTCCATTCTGGTTGTAAGAGAAGGAGTTGGCATTTACTTTTCCTCCTGTCTCCTCACAATCAGCAAATCACTACATCCCAACAAGTCACCCTCTAAAAATCCCTTCACTTTGGACAGTACACCACCACCTAAGTGCAGGATATGACCTCTGGCACCTGGATATTTGAAATGATTTCCCTTACTCTGTTCTGATTCCTTTATTCCTCATTGATGCCCAATTTCTCAAATCTCTCTCATGAGACTCTTGTGTTCATAGTTGTCCTGTTGTACCTCACCCCGCATAGGATGAAGGCCACACACCTTAGCATGGAGTAAAATACTTTGCTTGCTGGTTGTGCGCAAGCGCCCTGCATTTGGCCATTCTGAACTCTTGGAGGTTTGTTTGCAATATGACATGAATAGCTCCACACCTGTGCATCTACTGTCTTTACCACCTAAATAAGCTCCCCAACCAATTTTCCAATAAAATCCTACTTGTTATTTAAAAGACTCTCTTCAGATGTCCTTCCCTGGGAAGCCCTGCTTTGCTCCAGAGAGGTATTCTTTTCTCTCCCTATACAGCATCTATTACACATGTCATAACATTATTCATCTGTCTCCTTCATTAAATAGTAAGCTCCTTAAGGGCCTCTTATTCATCACAGGGTGTGGCATGTGGTTAAACATTCAATAATTACTTTCTAGATGGATGAATGAATCTAAGCTAACATTTTCCCTTATCAAATTAGGTAATTTAGCTTCAGAGAGGTTAAGCAATTGGTCCAAGGCCACATGGATGGATAATAAAAAGCTAATAAAGGCAGATACCACCGGCCACCAGATTCCAGCCTAGTAATTCCTCTCTGCATCCAGCTGCTTTCATTTTGACACAATCATGTCTTACACCAACACTTTTCCCTGAGTTTCCTATCTTTATTAGTGAATTTTTATTTTGGGCTTGGTTTTCTTTTCTTTTTTTCTTTTTTGGCACAAATACCTTGGTCTTCCCTTGGGGAACTACCTCTAATGTATTTCTGATGCCCATAATTAGAATGGAGCTGGCACCATACCCTGATTTCAGGAGAAGACAATACCCAGGGCTGCCCAATGAGAGTGCAATTTCATCCTGTTTGAGTCAGAGACAATAAGAGTCAGCCCAGGACTTGAGAAAGGGAAGCTCTCTTCGCACTGGGCTATGAAGCTAAACTGAGAGAAGAGAGTCTTTGAGAAAGAAGTCAAAAGAGAGAGATGCAGATTTGAGAGATTTCTGAGGACACTGTTTAAACACCACCAACCAGTCATTCCATATGCCAGCTTAGGGAGGCTTTGTAATGTGTTGACTTGCTAAGTTATGCTCTATCTTCCAGAATCCCCTTCACTATAAATGTCTGATTAGAGTGGAACACAAAAGACAAGGGATTCAGAAGGTGGATGTGAGGCAGCCATATTGTTTCTCCACATGAAAAGGCTGGGCAGGGGCACAAGCTACTGATGCAGCGTGTGCACACTATTGCTTATCTACAGACTTGCCTTTGTTGTTGTCGAGCAGCAGCCAGGTTTTCAACTACTCCACCTTCCCTCAGATCCTCTTATAGTTTCACCAACTCCTGGGCCAGGTGCACGCTTAGCTTCCCTTCTTCAGGAAGAAGTCAATGTAGTCTAGATGTAGTAAGAGATAGATCTGGGTTCTGGTCCATCCTCATAGGTTGCAGCTCATGTTCATGGGTGGGAGAGAGGGAGGACTCTCTCCCACCAGCTTTCCTACCAGACAGCTAGTTCTGATGCCCTCAAGCTCCAACATCAGCAACAAAGATAACAGCTCTATAGAGACGAGCTAACTAGCTTTCACAATTGCATAGGTTAAATTCTTGTAATAAATCCCTTACTGTGTGCATGATTGTGTGTGTGTGTACACATGCCTTTGATTGACGAAACCCTTCTCTAATTGGACCCCGACAGACATGCAATACTATCCCTGGACAAACATTAATTGACACAATTAATGTTTAGGTCAGTATGAATTTGGTTTCTGTCACTTGCTGCTAAAAAGGACTAAAATGCAGGATTATCATATCTTGACTAAACAACTTGATACCCTGAGGGTGAGATCTGTGCCTCACTTATCCTTAAATCCCCAACATGAAGCAAAATGCCAGGCACGTAGTAGGCACTTGACAAACACGAGTTGAATGAATTGACAACAAATGGCTACAGAGTAAAAATGCTCTCTAGGGGCCTCAGAGTTAAAGCCTCACTCAGTGTGAATCACATGGAAGATGAAAAGCAGGATGAGAGGGAAGCCCAGGCCTCTGGAAGACCTTGAGCCTGAGGAGCAGCTGAGCCTTGCACCTGGCAGCTTGGGACAAGGGGCAACACATGCCTGACATCTCATGTTCACCACGAGTACAACAGGTGTCCCTGGGGCCAGCCAGCCCTTGCGTGGAAGTGAGCTTCCTTTCACTGCCGACAGACGTACATAACAGAAGTGTCACAGGAAGTCATTTTTTCAATAGAAAATCTCAAAGCGTATCGGATTCCTAGAAAAAGCAGCTTCTGAGAAAGGTTATTTCACAGTAATAAACCCCATGAATCATCAAAAGAATTTATGTCTGAGGCAAAACATAAATGCTAACCATTCTGTGTGCTTGCCTAGAATACTTTAACAAATCCCAAAGAAATAAATGGTTCAGGGGAACCACAAAGACAGGAATTTCTGAACAGAAATCTTCTGAATGGTTTGACTGATACTCAGTATAAGTGAATCAGGCAATTAATCAGTGTATTTCCAAGCACAAGCCTTCACCAAGAAAAACATGAGACATACATGTTGAATATTGAATCAAAATGATAGGGAGGATGGTAGGCTGATAATAGTCCCCAAAGATATCCAAGATCTAATCCTGGATCCTGCAAATATTATCTTATCTAGTAAAAGCATATTTGAAGATGTGATTCAATTAAAGATGTTGAGATGGGGATAGGACCCAGGATTACCCAGGTGGGCCCTAAATACAATCACAAGTGTACTTATAAGAAGGAGACAGAGGGAGACTTGAACACAGGGAAGGTGATGAAAAGAAAAGGTAGAGAGAGATTTAGAGATTATGGTCTTGAAGATGAGGTGAGGGGCTATGAGTCAAGGAACCCTGCTCTATGAGGTCAAAAGGTGAGGAAAGGGACCCATTCCAGATCTTCTGCTGGTAGTGGGTGAGGTGCAGCCATAAGAACCTAACATTAGGGACCAAGCCACAGAGCTGCAGCTTACCAGACATAGCAACAGGTGGCAGAGCCGCACAAGGGCCTGTCAGTAAGCAGACCTGGCAAAGACCAAAGGATGTACAGAGAAAGGGTAGATGGGCTCCACACCCCAAAGATGGCCTTCCCAGGTACAGGATAATCTGTAGGCCCCCTAAAATATGTCCCTTATCAAGCATCAGAAAAATCTTTCCTGGATCCACTGCCATCTGATCTCCTAAACTTTTTCTGGTGGCCTTGATATCTCTCATATCTTGCTTTTCTCTCTCTGCTCAGCTCCTCCTAATTGACATTTCATTTAGATGCCTTGAAGATTTCTCTCCCTGGCTCTACCTTGGGATGCTGTCTTTATGGTTTCTGTTGGCCCCTTGCCTCATATCCCAGGACCTGAGCAGCTCCATTTCCACATCCAACCCTGGTTCATGAAATCCCAACTGGAATTATTGGCCCCGGCCACCATGCTTTCCTCTGAGGAAAGTGTAGTGGAACAGAAAAAACCGTCTCTGGAGCCAGAGGGAAACCCGATTTTGGATCCTGGCTCCACCTCTTGCTAGTATGCACCCTTAGCTTCCTCAAAGGCCAATTTTCTCTTCTCTGAACTGGAGATAATACCGTCTTCATAGGGTTGCTGTGAAGATTATAGATAATGTGTAGAAATTTAGTATAGTGCTTAGCACATAGTAGATGTACAAAAAAATCTGTTATTATGATCATTCAAGTCAGTGGTTATTTTTATACTCTCAGTTGATATTGTCTTTCCTGTGATTGTGGTCTCCAGAATGTAGCCCCTTCCCTGAATCCACCTTGTCTAAGGTACTCCCCACTTAGGCATCATGAGTACAACTCTTTTCTTCAGCTAGCAGCCCAAGTTATGTGTCAATGAGTCATAACGGATATAGAAATCCAATTTGAGTTTCTTGTCTGACCATCTGGGTATACTAGCAGAATGGAAGGTGAAGTCAGACATTCTGAATGCAAATCTCAGTTCTATTTCTACTTTCTAGTTATGGCACCTTAGATAAATTGTTTATCTTCTCTGTGTTTCAGGTACCCCTTGGTAGAATGAAGATAATAAGCGTGATGAACAATGTAATAGAAAATTGTGGGAAGCAGTGGAACAGACACTCCATAAGAGAACGTATCCAGGCCGGGCGCTGTGGCTCACGCCTGTAATCCTAGCTCTTGGGAGGCCGAGGCGGGCGGATTGCTCAAGGCCAGGAGTTCAAAACCAGCCTGAGCAAGAGCGAGACCCCGTCTCTACTATAAACAGCAAGAAATTAATTGGCCAACTGGTGGCGCATGCCTGTAGTCCCAGCTACCCGGGAGGCTGAGGCAGAAGGATCACTCAAGCCCAGGAGTTTGAGGTTGCTGTGAGCTAGGCTGACGCCACGGCACTCACTCTTGCCTGGGCAACAAAGTGAGACTCTGTCTCAAAAAAAAAAAAAAAAAAAAAGAGAACGTATCCAAATGGCAAAAAATAAAAAAAAATAAAAAAATAAATGGTCTATTTCACTGATCTCCAGTTCAGTATATAATGAAATACTATTACATACTCAGCAGAATGGCTAAAATGAAGATAACTACATCTTGGTGAAAAAGAGGAAGAACTAGGACTCCCCTATACTGTGAATTAGTACAGCAGTATTCTCAGATCCAAGCAAGATGGTTCATTCTGGCCCTAGTTCCTGCCCTACCCCATGGAGTAAGGAGTCCATGAGCCCATGGAAAAGGCCCACTGATAGCCCATGCCCCTCCTCCCATGGATCATAGCCCAGGACTACAGAATCTCCTGCCTAAATGAGCCTTTTCCCCAATCCCATTTTTAAAAGGCAGACCACATTGCTGATGTACATAAATCTTGGTCCAAAGGGTAGCCAAAGAGTGGTTGTATCGACAGAACCTGCATATGCCTAGTAGGCTGGTTGCAATGCAAGACATAACCAAGAGTGGGAAAGAAGAGCAGCAGGCTTTGGACTGGGGGTTAAGGGATGGCTGACCCCATGGGCCCACTGAGGATAACTGGCACAATCACTATGAACAATGGTTTGGCAATGTCTACCAAAGTTGAACCTAAATATGCCCCACAACCCAGCAATTTCACTAGGTATATAATCCAACAAAAGTAAACATAATTGTTTATATATGTGTAATACGTACACACACACGTATACATACATCCACCCACCCATATACTGTTAGACAGAATAGCACCACTATTCACTATAGCCAAAAACTACAAACAAGCCAAATTTTCTTTAACATTAGAGTGTAGAAATAAATTGCAGTAAATTATGCAAACAAATACTGACACCAATGAAAATGAATGAACTGCTGCTGCATGCAACAATGTACATAAAGTTCCCAAAGACAACACTCAGATATTATAGATTTAGTATCTGATCAAAGAAGTCAGATACAAAAGAGAACATGCCATATGATTCCATTTACATTAAGTTCAAAAACAGGCAAAACTAATTCACGATGACAGAAGTCAGGACAGTGATTAACTCTGGGGAGGGGAAGGGGTGCCTCTTGGGTGCTGGCAATGCTCTATTTCTTTATCTGGATTACAGTTACACAAACATGTTCAATTCATGAAAATTAATTGAAGTGGGTACTTACAATTGGTGTCATGAGACATAGTAGTCACACACTCTAGTCTCTGCGGAAGGGAGTTCAGCAACTCCCAACCCAACTCAGCATGTGAAGCACTCACCTTTGGATATCTACCCAGAATCCATAAGGGAAGGATCTGCACCCTTGCTATGTGCTTCTGTTGTCATGTGTGTTCTTTCATAGTGAATGTTGGATTCCATAGCTGTCTCCCAGTGTACCACAGGCTACTTGAGGGCAGGGACTGCCTCTTTCATTCTATCTCCCCAGTGCTCAGCATTGCATCCAGCACATGAATGATCCTCACTAACTCTGAATCAAAGAAAGAATTCCTGGCCTATAACAGGCATGTAATACATGTTAATCCCAATCCCCTACTCTCTTCTCTTTGTTTTCTCCTTTTTTCTCTTTCTCTCTTTCTCCAATTTTTCCTTCCAGCCAGGGGAACCTCTACCAGACAGAATCTTTAGAGTCTCTTCAGATGAGACCCTTTAGTAACATTCTAAACAGAAACAGTGACCAAGCCCACTTTAAAGGGTATCCACATTTTATACCATGATTTCACTAATTAGACAAATATTTCCATTGAAGAAATTCACTCCTCACTTGTTGCTTACATAGAAAACATCTGCAGTTGATGGGGTCTTTTAGGACGTTGGGTAAAACTTCCAGAGAATCATCCATGCTATGGGAAGTGGAGGATCAACAAACTCAACAGCTGATAGCAACAAATCTACTTCATTTGAGGATGAACAGGTACAGCTAATGCACTTTACGGGCTGCCATGTGTGCTCTACTAAATGCCTCCAACAGGGGAAAGAGGATCCAGAAAGAAGAACTCAGTATCTGATGAGCACTTGCTTATGGTGCACAAGTACTAGTCTACAATTCCTTGCACATGGTATTTTATTTAAACAAAAAATTTGCTAAACACTGAGGAGTAACTGGCTACAAACAGAATTAAATTCTGGAATTCTTTCTATAGAAATACTCATGTGCACAATGACATATTATAAAAAGTTCATGGAATGACTACATGGAATATGGAAAATTAGAATCAATTGAAATGCTTATTATTAACAGAATGTTCAAATGATGATACTGCCATATTATGAAGTAATATGTAGCTGTTAAAAGGCATAAATTTCCTCTACATGAGTTGGCATGGAAAGCTATGAGATGTCCAAGGAGAAAACACTGCAGAACAATATTTAATTCCCATTTAAAATAAAAATTTAAAATAAATAAATGTGCTTATAAAATGCATAGAAAATCATTTGGAAGATTCATACCAAAAAGTTAATAGGATTACATCAAAGAAAAAGAATTAGAAAAATAATAAATAGGAAAGGCAACAAGGGAAGGAAATCACATTTTACTTTTTCCTGTTTAAATTTCTGATTTGCTTAAAACTTTCATGATAAGCATGTATTATTTTGATAACCTTTTTTTTTATTTTGATAACCTTTAAAAACTTTAAGGTATTGGATTACTTTGGAAACAAGTTTGAAATCAGCTCCATTGTTTACGTTGGGCATTTACTCCATTTTTCTATGTATCAGTTTCTCTAACTGTAAAATAGTAATAATGATTAATACATCATGATGAGGGAGCAGGAGATGATCCTTTAACTCAGTGTCTGACACTAATACAATTTATGTGTAATGGTTATTTCTGTGTGATAAGGCATGCCAAAAATTTATGATTTAAAACAATGACCATTCATATCACTCATGTAACCATAACTTTGCTGAGGGTCAGCTGATATAAACTGGGCTTCGCCAGGCTACTTTGCTGAGTTCAACTCTGCTCCACACACCTACATCCTCCTTCCCACCAGTGGGATAATCAGGGCATGTCCTCATGGTGGCAGCAGAAGCACAGACAGCACAAATATGCAAAGTCTATTAAGACCTACACTCAGAACTGACACACTGCAACTTCTCGCCTCATTCTATGGGCCAAATATGTCACACTATCAGGTCCAAAATAAAAGGGTATAGAAATATACTTCACTAAGGGTGACCAACCATCCCAGGTTGCCTGGGACTGAGGGGCTTCCCAGAATGCAGAAATTTCCATGGTAAAAACCAAAAAAGTCCTGGGTAAACCTTGACTGATTGGTCACTCAACATCTCTTTCTATTCTTTGAGTGGGTTGAACTTCAAAGTCACCCAGCAAAAAGCATGGGATAAGGACAGATGAAGACTCAAGGCCAATGTCGCCATTGACCGCACTGTTAATACTGTTACCATCTCTGTAACTAGGAAAACAGACAAACAGTAGGTGGTCAAAATTATTTTTGGTGGATTGGTCTTAAGTTGGCCAAACAATATCAGAGCCTCCCAAACTCTCCAACAGAGTATTTCCCAGAATATTCTCCTCAAATAAAAGGGCATTAAAGATGTATCAGAGGGTTGTAGCATCAGACAGGTGACTAGGATAGATTCTTGAAGAAGCTTAAGAGCCTTTCAAACCCAGTTCTAACTTCATTTGACTGGGATTAAGATGAGTCTCCCTAAAAACAATGAGAATTGCTAATAGCAAACTCCTCTCCTTCTAGGAAGAACATTTTGCTTCTAAAGGACTTTTGCCAAGAACAGGTTGTTTGACTTTTAGTCATCTGCTTGTGTATGATCATGAATATTTATCTAGCCCCCTCAGCTTTACTAATCCTTTTCAAATGTCAAGACCCATAGCGGGTGGTTTTCCACAGAGGTTAAATCCACAGAGCCACAGGGAGCTCGACTCTGACAGTTGTTTCCATTTTCCTCTTCCTGCTAGCCTGCACATTTCTCATCTGAAGACAGGCCTTACTGGATAGGATCAGTACACAGCCATAAATCACAAAGAATGATTTCTCTTGATTCACAACCATTTTCTTTATCTGAAATATGCCAAAGAAGAAAGCCTATTAAAGCCCGCAAGTGTTTGGGCTTTTAAATCTTTTTTATTTTCTTTACTGTTTTTTAAGGGTTTGCATCTCACTCTGTTGCCCAGGCTGGAGTGCAGTGGCATGATCATAGCTCACTGTAACCTCCACCTCCTGGGCTCAAGCAATCCTCCCACTTCAGCCTCTTGAGTAGCTGGGACTACAGAAGTGCACCACCATGCCTGGCTAATGTTTTAATTTTAATTTTTTGTAGAGATAGTGATCTTGCTAGGTTGCCCAGGCTGGTCTTGTATTTGTGCCTCAAGCAATCCTCCTATCTCAGCCTCCTGAGTTGCTAGGATTACGAGTGTGAGCCACCACTCCCAGCTTATGGGCTTTTAAATCTCTAATTTTTTTATGGAAAACAGGACTATAGACATTCCAAATGGGAATGAGTTGTTAAAATACCTTGGAGTTCATTTTCATATGAACTTGGGGAATAAAACAGAAATATTAACATGCTAACAAAAACACATTCAAAGGACAGAATCAACTGGGAGCTATCAAAAGAGTTGGAGGGTCAACATGGCAGGTTGTTTCAAAACTACAGGGAAAAATCAACGAGAGTTTAGATGACCTCTGGGACAAATATCTGGCCACTAACTGCTTTACACATTCCAATCTAGATGCCAGTAGCAAGTGAATTAAACTGCTTAGAGCACTTTTAGTGATCAAGAATGTGTAGTTTAGAAAGATTACCTTAAATTATGACCAATAGTTTTAAAGGGATCCAATAATCAGCTTTGTTACACTCTACCTGGATTAAGTAAATGGCATCAACTAAAGTATAAAGACTTTTTTAGCTGCTCACCTGCCCTCACAAATGGACATTCTCCCCACTCTGAGACACTTACACAGCCTATAGTTCTGAACAGACCACCTGCTCTAAAAGATCTAGCAGCAATTTTATCTGAAAATTTAAATGCTGTTAATCACCTGGGGCTGATAGAAATGGACATTTATACCTTGCCTGAGATTCCAGTGCCACTGAGCGCCCAGGACATGTCCAGTTTACAAACAGTGAGGGCAAAAAGCAAGCCGATCCCCAAGGTGAGCTTCCTCCCAGTCCTTCTTTTGATCGGTTGGCTCCCCGTCCCATCTGTTTTCATTCTCCTTTTAATTTGATGAGGCAAGTGTTCCAAAAACACATAATTCTGGGACGCTGTAAGAAGCATGGAGTAAATAACAATCAGCCGTGTAGCTACCCTCAGCCTTTCTCTAAACGATCTCAGCTGGAGTGATGATCATCGCATTGAACCAGGACACCTGAGCTTGGGGGAGAGATTATCAGTTAACCATGACATTCTCTGAGATGGGTGGACCATCCAACATTTTATTAGAACATGCTGACTAATAAACAGGGAAGAGATAAGGCAAAGTGATAATGTTCACCTAGCTTTTCAAATTATCGAGGGAATAAAAGAAATTACAAGGCAAATATCTATCTTGACTTTAAAGCTACTCAAGGGATAAAAAACCAAAGGAAAATCTATTATGCCATAGAAAGGGTCTCCAGAGACCTGAGGCAATATATTTTTCTTAATATGAGCCATTGATTAATGACTTGGGATAAGGGAATGTTTAGGGAGTTGGAGACTTGTACTTTTATTTCCTTCTGGGAGTAGAAAGTGCAGAAGGAGAGGAAGGCACCTTACTAATTAGTATATTGGAAGATTGGGGTTAGAGGAAAAAAAGAGGAAATGATATTAATTTAAGGAATCTTATGGGAAGAGATGAGGGCATGTAAAAGAACTTCACAGAGATGAGAGCAATAACTAACAGCTACTGAGGGCTTACTACGTGCCAAGAACTTCCACGTTAATTCTATTCTACAGGACAGGAACTACCAAATATTCTATCAATTGTAAGAAAAATACAGACATACACACAGATTTTATACATATATATCATTTTGATATATTTATAACATTTAAGCACAGGATTGATGTCACTTTACAATCACCATGGGCCAAAGGGCAGACGTGATATAATTCTATCATTGTCTATGAATGTGTAAACTCATATTACTGTCACTTCAGTTGACTTATGCACATCACTGGCACTGCATATGCTGAGTTTAATTGCTGTTTAAAAATCTTTTACACTATGACTTGGTATTTAAACTAAAGGTTATTTGACAAGCATAAAAACTGAGCAAAGAGGTGAGTATAAATTTGGTATTCGTAAAGCAAAAATTCATCATAGGAAAGAAATTTCAACTTTTCTTTCAAAGCAACAACCAAATGCTTTATGGGGCTCTAAGAAAGGAAGCTACCAACTTGGGCTTCATCTTGTTTCTGAGATATATGCAAAATAATTGCCTGTTATATGCCAAGTAATGCAAGTGAAGGCAGGGCAAATGGCCAAATCCCCAGGAATAGATTAATGACATTTCCAAATTTAGAGAGCCTGATTTGACTGACTCATACATGATTACTGGTGTAATGTTTTGTTTTTTCTTACTGGTGCATAAAATAATGGTGCATCTCCTGTCTGACGGCACTTAGATTCAATTAGCTAGGGTATTACTACAATTTTTTCTTCCTGTGAGAAAACAGAGGCTCAGGTGAGTTAAATTACTTGTCTTAAAAGCCACAGAAGGTGAGTTCTTAAAGATATCATTTTAAATTTGTTCAGTCTGATTCAGGAATTTATGATCTTAATCATCATGCTAAACTAGTTCCCAAAACAGAGAAAGAAGATTGGCATAATCCCCTAAAAATTAAGTCAGATCATGGCACTTCTCTTTCCCAGAGATCTTCATCTTACCCAGAGTAAAAGCTGAAGAACTTCCAAGGACTTCCTGGGCCTTACAGGCGCTGCAGTTTCCTTCCTGCTCCCTAGGCATTACCTCTGTACCTCATTTCCTACTATGCTTCCTCACTCACTCTGCTGTAGTTCCACTGACTCCCTGATTTTCCCTCACCATGCTAGCCAGCTTGCTCCCACATCAAATATGCTCCTGCCTCAGGACCTTTGCACTTGCTGATCTCACTACCTCAAACATTTTCCCACCACATCTCCACTTGGTTCACTCCTTCATTCCTTTGTTGTCTGTTCAAATGTCATCATATCAGAGAGGCTCTCCCTGACCACCCTATATATATTAATAAAATAGCACCACTATGCTCCACCCATCTCATGCCCTCTCTATTCCCTTTAACATATTTTATTTTCTCCATTGCCTATGACTATATGAAATACTATAAATGACTTTGTATGCTTATTGCTTGCTACAAGAAAACTTCAGAAGGCGGAGACTTTCTTTTCTACATTTCTGTATAGATAGTAGACACTCGTTAACTGGATGAAAAAAAAAATATGAATGGTTCTTTCTCTGACAATGTTAGTCCGCTATTTTTTCCTTCTGTTTTATTTTTGATTCAGAAAATTACATCAATTAGCATCTGTGGATTATAATTACTAGTGAATGAGTAATTTGGCTTTTCACTCCATTTGGGAGAATAATAAGGGAGGACACTCTCGTTGTAGAGTGTTTCCCAATGCAGATCCCAGAGCCGGACTACCTGGATTCCACTACCTGGCTCCACTACTTTCCTATGTGACATCATGAAAGTTACTCAATTCCTCTGTGCCTTTCTTTCATTCTCTGTAAGACTGGGATAATAATAGTGTAGGACTTACTTCTGAGGATCTTATAAGGATTAAATTAATACGATGTGCTAAATATTAAATAAAACATTTTTATTGGCAAACTACTACCAATTTACCTAACAGGAACTATTAAGAACAAGAGGCTTCTTAACCAGAGGAAAATTTTCCTTCAAAGGAGACACTTGGCAATACCAGAGATCTTTTGGTCATCACAGCTAGGGATGGGGTTGGGGGGTGCTACTGGCATCTAGTGGGTAAGAAGCCAGAGACGCTGCTAAACATCCTACAGTGCACAAGGGGGCCCTCCACAACAAAGAATTATCAAGCCCGAAATGTCAATAATGTCATTGATGAGAAACTCAGAGAATATTTAGTTTCAACATACTGCAAACTTCGGTACTCTAGGAGAGGGAAGACATTTAAAAGGAAACTTTTTTTTAAATCACCACCACTCTGTCTGTCATGCCTTAAAATCAGCTTAGAGATGAAAATCCACATTCATCTTATCCCACTCTGAAGGCCTGGCCTTAAATCTCTCCTTACCATTCATTGCCTTTTATGATCAAGGCCAAACAGATACAGGTGGTCTGGATCTCAGCATTCCCAGGCAATTGTCCTTGAAGTCTCGTGTTGGACGTTTCAGTTCTGCATCGGACCACTAGAGGGCGGAGAAACACTATCAATCACTCAGCATTGGGTGCCGGATGTAGTTTTCAATAATACAAATCTTAATAAAAAATGTTAAATTATTCCTGGCCCCTAAAATAAAAGCTGCCCAGAACAGATTTATAGAACACCTCTATATATACACAATTTAAAAGAATTATTCAAGTATTTCACCCTAATTTGTCGTCACCCTCAAACTGTAAAATATGGTAGTAATTTAACTTAATGTCTTATGTTAAATGAAGACCTAATAAATGGCCACTGACAATATTATGACTGTTATGACACTACTATGGTGTTATTATGACATATTATGACTATATTGGTAAAACTCTTTCTTTTATGAAGATGTAATTATACTGTGAGTTAAATCCTATCAAATCAATTTAAATGATCTTCCCCACAAGGAATTAAGCAAAAATTGAGCATGAATTGAAACCTAAAAATTAACTCCAAATTGTAGTAAATAGCATTATTTTGATGAACCCTGAACCAAAACAACCCAAAGTATCAATGCTCATTGTCTTAAAAATACTGCATTAGGATGAACTAAAAAAGTTTTATATTACAGCATCATTCAATGAAGATTTAGATATGTCTCAATTCCATACACTTGGGTTTGGAATACAGGCACTGAGAGAAAGTTCAAGGAAATTTTGGAGGAAAAATATTAAAGAATTATTTTAAAGAACAATGTCCAGCAGTTTTCCCTTTCAACTAAAAATTAACAAAGTATGGATATAAATATTGCATAAGCGATTACTAAACTTATTCTCTTCCAAGTTGTCCATAATTATTATTAAAGAGATTGCAAAATTCTGTTCAAAAAATCATTTTAACTTTCTTTAACTTACACACACATGCACACACATACATAAACACAAATAAACAAAAAAGCTGTGTGAGTATTTTGACATGGAGCTGACAGACTGAATGATGCTGTCAAACCAGTAAATGAGAGTAGGAATCAGTGACTCAGAAATGTCTAAGTATCACACTAGAAAACATTATATTTTAGGAGACTGCATAGAATAGTAGTTAACTACATAAATCTGATATTTCAGTATCCAGGTTTGAAAATTCCCTCTACAAGTTAATAATTTTGAAGCTCTAGGGAAAATATTTTATATCTCTGTATCTCAACTGTAAAACAGCTGTTCTTGTCATAGTACACACAAGTGCATATAGGTACAGCATCTAGAATAGTGCTTGGCACATATTAACTCTATATAAATGTTTTCTATAATATTATCATGTCCTTTAATAGATAAGCCAAGATCACATCTAACCGTTTTCTACTTTTTGTTGGGCATGCCCCCTCTTTCTAAAGTGCCCTTAAATCATTTTATTCTTCAAATAAAGCAACAGACTGAACATACTGGACTTCATGGAACTTGAGAAATATGAAAACTCAGCTTAGTTTCCAAGCCATCCCATCACAATAATCCCAAAAGAGGCAGCCTTCGTGCTTTTCTTTCCTTTTCCTTTTACATTTCCCCATATGCCCACTCCACCTCTTTTTTTTCTTTAATGTAAGCAACAGGTACAAATGAGGAAGGGAGAAGAATTATTCATTATTTTTCTTTTTCCATTTAACCCCCAACACTGAAGCCAAGCATGACGATAATCATAACGTACAACAGAAGAAATGCCTCTTAAAACCATTGTGAGGCAACCTTTGGAAAGGTCAAGTGAGCTAATGTGAACAACATTTTTTCTTTTTATCAGGTTCTAGAAAATTTCACTGGATAGTGAACTTTTTCTTTTCTTCCTGTAATGACTGGTTATCATTAACTCATAATAAAATCAGATGTAAGAGGAAATAGGGAATCCAAGGACCAGAATAATGTAGGGAAAATTGAGAATCAAAATTTTGTCATCATATCAGCCCTGCAACAGTTAATGCCTTTATCTGTTGTCATAGAAACAAGACCTTTATGTCATGGTGACATGGGTTTCAGAGGCATAGAGCATAACTCACCATGCACTTCATTCAACTTCAATCGATTCCATTTCATTCAGAAAAATCCTCATTTTGACAGGTCAGCCTTAAATCTTAAAGGGGCCAAAATGTCAGATGCTCAATATATTAAGGCATAATTCCGTTGGTGAAAATCACTAACCCACGTCACTATTGGCCATATATCACATCAGTGCATTATTCCACAATAGCAAAACCAAATTGCCCAGAAATGAAAAATTAAAATATATGTGAAATAAAAATAGGTACTACAAAGTTTTTATTAATATTATTCCCTTATATTTACTTCTCTTAAAATCTAGCTCAATGGGGCCTCCTCTAGTTGAAAATGCCTGTAAATGTTTCTTTACTTCACAGGGCATAGTTGTAAAATGAATGGCCAGGCTTTAGAAATGGATAGGGTTTGAAACCTTGCCTTGCTAAGCAGTAATACTATAGTATAGTACTACAGTAATATATACTATACTATAGTATTACTTTAGTCTAAATTCCTAGTTCTGTATGCCTCCCTTTTCTTATTTATAAATAAGGACAATAATGGTCTCCACTTCATAATCCTTGAGAAGATTAAATGAGTTAATATACACAAAACTCTCAGTGCCTAGCACATTGCAAGCACTATCTCTATAGATGTTTGTTGTAATAAAACTAATTATTTCATTATAGCTATAATTATTTGGTGAGAGGAAGAAAGTTTGATATTGTCTTTAAATGGTTAGTTTTTATTTAAATTAATTTGAAAAAGCATGTTTGTAGTGCCCTAAACATTAAGAGATTACACTTTTATTATAGGTAATGGTTAAATGAGAGATCAGAAGGTTAAACAAATAGAAAAATGAACTCAGGAGGATTTTCTATTTTCCTTCATTTTTATTTCTTAGCCTCTGTGCAGAATATTTGGCTACATCCAATCACAGTTCATGACAGCCCTAATGAATTAATGAATGAATGAATGATGAACAGAATAATTTCCTGCCCAATCAGCAGCTGGGCTCATTCATTCCAATCACGGGACTGGATTGGAAGTTACTTAGCAACCACTTGAGTAAATGATGGAAAGGACTCTGCAGAGCAGTTTCATAATCACAGTCAAACAAACACCATTAAAGCCTTTCTCCTGACCACATTTCCTGAGCTCTACCTATCTGCAAGTCATCTGCAAGAATAGGTCCAACCAATAAAAACAGTGGCACATACTCTTCAGATCATGGATGCTGAGAAACATGTGGTCTTAAAGCCCCTGTAAGAATGTCTGACAGATTGGCTCAAATGAAAGCAAATACAACATTACATAATGGGATGTTTTGGATTGTAAATCTTTACTAGGACATAGAGTTAGTGTCTTGTACAAGCATATCTAATTCCTGGATACAAATACCACTTGAATAATATTTCTTCTCTATGCCACCCTGTGACATGGTTCTGGCTTGCCTCTACTATCTCCATCTACTCTTCTAAAAGCCTAGAGTTAGAAGGATCTGGAAAGTTGAGTTCAGTTTCCCAGGATTTTTCCTTACACGTGGTCATGGGCTACAGCATAAACATTTCCAGCAGTAGATTCCAACTCCCCAAGAGGCAGTTTATCTACTCTATATACATTTATTGAGTACCTACTAAGTAATACATATCGGGTTTTGTATTTGAAATACAAAATGAAATAAAATTAAGTTCTTGCTTTCAAGAAACACATTATCTATGGGAAGAGAGAAATGTGAGAAAATACATCATAACAGAACCATGTGAGATATTTCTATAGTAAGTAAAGGGTGCTATGTGAGCATATAATAATAATTATAACTGTTAACATTTCTTTTATATCAGGTACTGTTCTAAAATTTTGCATATATTAACTTTTTCAACCTTCTAACAGTCTTGAAAGTAAACTGAGGTGCTAAGAGGTTAAATCACTTTAAGTCACACAGTAAGTATTATGACCAGTTTAAGGGAAACATGTAATCAATCCTGGGAAAATTAAGAAGACTTCCTGGAGAAAGGAAGTAGAATATGAGATACTAGATGAATATGAGTCAATTTTTATTATCCTGGATGATATAGGATGAGGGACATCCTGGGCAGAGGTAGAAAAGTGTGCCAGTATCACCCTTAGACCCAGCAAGAAGGCTCTTGCCTTCCCCATGGTTATGGTGTCTGCAGGGCCAAGAGGTCATGACCACCCAAGGCCTACCTCAACCCCTTCCATTCTAGACCATGTCTTAGAAACCAGGCCCCACCCCAGGGCCCCCAGTCTACCTTGTAGGACCTTTATAAGCTTCTTCTTCTCTCTTTATAGGCTCCTTCTCCATCCTGCCAGGGTAGGAGGGCTCAGATTCTACATACTGCTGTTAGAGAATGGCTGTTTTCATGGGGTGTGGAGGGTGCCTGCATGTGCAGGCTGGGGTGTCTATACATCACATGCAAAGCCTTTTGTGATACAGGACAGATCAAAGGTAGGAAGAGAAGGCTGTGGGCTGAGTGCCAGGAGCGCTCGCCTGTGCTGCAACATTCTGACGTGGAATCCTGAAGGCTCAGAACTCAAAATATATACCTAGCTTTGCAGGTGATTAGAAAGGTATTTTAGTGAAAGGTGGGAGATAGCACATATTTTATGTAACAATGTGTTAGCTTAATATATACATTTGATGGATGTAGAAATATGGCCTATGGCCTCCATTTGTACTCAGGCCTTGAGCTCTGCAATGTTGGAGGTGGACCTGCTGTGTGTGAGGCATGAGGATCCAAAGCACAGCTTGTTTAGGAAACTAAAAGTAGATCAGCAAAGCTCAGGCACAAAATGTAAAGCAAAGAGAAGGCAGGCAGGATTCAGGGAAGCAGTTGCCTATCTAGGGGTTTGAACTTAATTCTGAAGGCAGAATTAAAGATTATTAAGGCTTTTAAGCTGGAGAGTAAACCAGCACTGGATTTGGAGCACTCACATCTATATGTCAATCTGCTCCATTCCCCAAAGAAACACCTGATATTTTTATTTCCTCTTCTTCTCTTTGCCTCTAACTAGAAGCAGGAAAGAGAAAGAATGATGATGTCTGTTATGGCTGTAGGAGTCCAAATAGCGAAGCCTGGTGCAGTTAGAAGAGCAAACAAGTGGGAGACAAAAAATAGCAAACCTGGTGTTCTTATCTGGCCTACTCTGCTGCAGAGAGCCCAAAATCACAGACTGGGAGAAGTCTGGCAGCCAAACCAGAGCCCAAGGGCCCACAGACATCAAGG